TATATATATAAAATACATATACATATATAATAATATATACATATATAATTGTTATTATTTTTATAAATTATTAATTTTAGTATTATCTCATATATATCCTTTTTTTAATAATAACAATTTTATTTGCGAATTTTTTATTTCTTGTTTTTTTTGTCAGATGAAGCAATAAGAGATATTTTTTTCTGTATTATCCCCATTGTTTTGGAAAGAGAAAAGCTTACGTTCAATTAAAAATCCAAATATCCAATCGGTATGTTTTCTTTCTTTAGGAAACGTGAAAAGTAGTTTAACGTGGAAAATATTTAACGTGAAAAACAGTCGGGATGCGACACGCATTGATGAACATCCTGCTTCAGCGGTGCAACAAGGCTGCCGCTCCATGTTTGGGGAAGATGGGTCGCCACTATTCAACCAGCAGTTTAAAGCCCGAATTAACGTCTGTCAGGTACAAAATGAAACGTGGTTTTTATGCCACTGTCACAGATGCAGACATTCGTTTCTTCGATTCGTTGCTCGGCTCCAATCGTATTATCACAGATCCAGATGAAATTGAAAGCTATAATATCGATTTTCCTAAAACCGTCAGAGGTAAGTAGTAATTATAAGGGGTAGTTATAAGGAAGTACAGGGATAAATTTTTAATTACAACATTTTAGAAATATATGATGTAAAAAAATTTTTGTCCTAAAATTTTTTTATGCCAGGTGCCAGTCAGCTAGTTGTGAAACCAAAATCGACTGAAGAAGTTTCGGCCATTATGAAGTATTGTAACAAGAGACGATTAGCGGTTTGTCCACAAAGTGGTAATACCGGTCTTGTTGGAGGTAGTAATCCCATCTTTGATGAAATAGTCATTTCCATGAAGCTTATGAATAAAATTCTGGACACAAATGAATTAGCAGGTAGACGATAACTGTTATTATGGCGTTATAATTCTAAATTTCTCTTTTTCTGTGAAAATCTTTGCTAAAAAACTTAAATGAAAATTTCAAGTATGTCATTTAAGTTAATTATTAATTTAAATTTTATTATTCAAATTTTCTATTTATATATTTTAATAAAATTAAAAAAATGCTATTTGATAAAAATGTTATTTTATATAAATTATATGTTCTTGCAATATAATTTGATCTTTTAAATGAAATATTTTTGAGAAAGTAAAATTTTTAAATTAGAAAAAATTTTTAAATATTTTTTCTCTTTCCTTTTTAATGCTGATATCTTTTGAAAAAAGTCTATATGTTTCAGAGAATAGCACGTGCGAATATTGCAATAGGATTCCTTGAAATTTTAGATGCAAATTGATTACGCGTTTCTTCTTCTT